CTTTTTTTTCCGCACTTAGCCCATTAGCGCACCTTTTTTCGGGTTTTTTTCAAAAATTCCACGCCCTAAAAAACCTAAATCCTTAAATAAAACTATTCATTACTATATTTTAAGAAAAGTTTGCAAATTTTTTTCGCGCCACCTTTATAGCTTTGCTTAAAAAGCGCACCTTTTAGAAAACGCGTTGTCGGAAGTCTTGTCGGATCAATTTGTCTGACAAAAAAGTTGTCAATGAAAATTTGTCTGTCAACAAGGAGCACACTCTAGTTGTAATTCATTATTCGCGTCGAATAAATGTATGTCGTAGCCGATTATGAATGAAATTTTTTGGTAAAGCTTTCTGGTAGAGCAACCCTTTAATGTATGAGGACAATATTATATCATCTTGTAGCGAATTCAATTCTGCGTCGATTGGTACCAAATCTGTTAGTTTAGGTTAAAAATTACCGGCGCTACAACGTTTCATTCAAAATCGGCGGGACCCCCGTAGCCGATTATGAATTTCAACCGATTATGAATGGTGGGTCTAGGTCTAGGTCTATGTCTAGGTCTATGTCTAGGTCTAGGTCCAGGTCTAGGTCTAGGAGCGTCCAACCATCAAGATGATTTTGAAAGTTGTGCTTTGGCTCGATGGTAAAAATTTTCTCATCTGTGAATAAGACCTTATCAAGATTCTGTCCAGCGACCAGTCTCTTCATCAATCGCGCTCGCTGTAGTCTCTTTGCTTTCATAGGATCGTCCAAGAAGTGTGCCCGGGCAATCGGAAAGACCCTAAAATTCAAAGATTATTAATTAGAACAACGTAAACAAGCATTATAGAAAAGAAACATCACAAAAACCAAAGAAAAACTTGATATCAAAAGGTCGAGAAAAAATTCGCCGTATTTTCTGGTCACCCTGTACTTTCGGATACTTTCGGTCACTTTTCCGTCTCCTATACTTTGTTCCACAGCTCGAATCTTTAGTCAAAAAGCTGATTATTGTATAACAGTCTGAGCACTTTCTTCAAAAGAAACCCATTTTGGTGCCAATGGAAAAGTTGTAGAGAATCAAAAACCAAGCTTATATGCAAATTTTCAGAACGCTTCAAAAACTGGTTTTCAAGAAATGCCAAATTTACGAATTTTGGCGGTGGGACAAATGCTACCTTCTTTTGCGCACCTGGACATTTGCGCACCTTTTTTTTGTTGGAAAAGACCTTAGGAAAGGTCGTAGAGCTTCAAAAATGTTTCCATACTAGGGAATCGTATGCGTAGATTCCGAATTTCGACAAATCAGACCTCGCTGACACGTCAAATTTGGGCTAAACCATCTGAACCGCATCTGAACCATATTGGAACCATATTCGAAGCTCTACGGCCTTGCCTAAAGCCTTTTCCAGCAAAAAAAGGTGCGCAAATGTCCAGGTGCGCAAAAAAAAAAAAAAAGGGGCATTTATCCCACCCCCCGAATTTTCACAAATGAAATGACCGAAAAGAAGGGGGAGGGGAGGGGGGGGGAGGTTACGGTATCTGTCTGTCTTTCTGTCTGCCTTACTGTACGGGCATTTTTCCAGCCGTATTTTGACCAACTTTGAGTCTCACACACAAACCAAAATCCTACTACGAAAGAGGAATCCGCAAATTGCCTGTAAAATGGGCAGAAGTCGTCAATAATAATGGAAATTATTTGGAATGAATTTATGGTTTTATGTTGAATAAATTTTAGTTCAAAGTCCCGCAGGTTTCCATTCACCAACCCAATATATTTAAATGATTTTAGGACAAAATCTTTTCAATGTGCATCAACAATAATTGCATTTGTGGGCTCTCCATTAATGGTTTCGGCATTTCGAATTAACAATCGCGAAATGCATCTTCATATTTGGAGTTTAATAAAACGATTTTTAAATTTATTGAATCCGTTCCGTCGACACCCAAACATATTTTTTGTGCTCAAATTTCGCACGGTTCATGACGTCAACAAAAATTTCAGTACTCAGTATCTTTTCAGTATCTTTTGCGGTTAAAATGAACTTTAACACTAATAACATACTGTAAACTTGATAAAATGAACTAAGTTGAAAAAATTGAACTTTAACACTAATAATGTTTGTGCATTTGATGGAAGTCCCCTCTCATCACCCAAGAAACGATCGTCGATTGAGAATTCTTTGCCTTTCTTCAGAAAAGCCACATATTCTGAGTGCTTTTCAAGGGAAATCTCGAGCTGAAGCATTATGCTTTCGTTGCTTTGGTTGCTTTGGTTGCTTTGGTTGCTTTGGTTGCTTTGATTGCTTTGGTTGCTTGCTTGCTTGCTTATGCTTTGGTTGGCTATGAACAAATCCCAACTTGATCGATAACTTTGTTTAACTTCAATTGTTTAACTGTTTAACTTCGATAACTTCAATTTTCTTTCTGTTTGGCTTCAGTTTATTTTGTCTAAAAAAAGCAATTTTGTGTCTATGCGAATCATTGAAACAGTCTAAATTCTTGAGAAAGAAGTTCATTTTTTTATTTTCTTGCCCTTAAATTTTATGAAATCCGTAAAATACCACATGAGCTAACAGATTTTTGAGCCATTTTCCAGCTCTATAGCACTTGATTGAAAGCTTTTATGCAGAAAAAGAAATTTTAAAAAGGGCTGCTACGCAGGAGTACGCGATCATACTCTTTACCCGGTCTTCTATTCGAAGAAATACGGTAGATCTTTTTTCCATTTGTGGGCGCTTGTGGTTTTAGTTTTCTCAAATAGGTGCCTTTTAGCTGAGGTGTCGGATGAGTGACGATCTTGTTTTTCTCCAAGCCTCCAAGGGTTTACAAATTTTTGGAGACACTGCAAAGTCTTTACCCGGTCTTCTATTCGAAGAAATAGAATAGAAGATTCTTTAAAAAATAGATTCTTCTATTCGAAGAAATAGAATGATGGGTTGCCTTCTATTCGAAGAATAGAAGGCAAATCACTCTAGCCGGGTGATTTTTATTCCTTTTATAATAAAATCAGCGATATTAAAATAAAAAAACAGGTGGTTGCCGTAAAAAAATTTTTATCGTCACCCGGCCGCGATTAATACCCCCCTTTAAACAAAAAGGCGTTAAGCAAAAAGGCGTTAAGCAAAAAGGCGTTAACCAAAATTCGTCATCATTTCATTTCAATTTTCTTTCTGTTTGGCTTCAGTTTATTTTGTCTAAAAAAAGCAATTTTGTGTCTATGCGAATCATTGAAACAGTCTAAACTCTTGAGAAAGAAGTCCATTTTTTTATTTTCTTGCCCTTAAATTTAAAATTTATGTCAAAAATCAAAATTTATGTCATTTAGTCAAAAAATATTTTCTTTTTGTTAATTTACTGTTATTGAATCTGAGCTTTTCGATTCAAATATTGAAAATATTGAAACATTTATCTTGAACTTCTACTTTTTAATTATTCAATGATTTAGTGCTTCTTATTTGAACCTTTTTGTTGTTTTTGAGAAAAATCGCAAAGTACAGGATGCGCCATAATTGCCGCAACAAGATAAAGTTCTGATTTTAAGGCAGACAAGAGCAAAAAACGACAAAAAAAACGACAATTTTTAACTCAATCACATTTATTGTATCATAACAATTATAAATGAACTATCAAATTCGAATCGGCTACCATTAGGCGTTTGAATAGGTTCACAGGCATTGGAATAGGTTCACAGGCATTTGAATAGGCTCACAGACATTTGCATAGGTTAAACAATTACAAACTACCAAATTCGAATAAACCACCATTAGCATTTGAGTAGGCTCGCACGCGTTTCGGGAAGGCGTCAACGGCGTCAACGGGAAGGCGTCAACGGCGTCAACGGCGTCAACGGGAAGGCGTCAACGGTGGCGACCATCAGCCGACCAAATAAGCTGCATCGAGCTCTTTCCACGCTTTCAACAGTGATTTCTTCAAGCTTTTGATGTTTTTGTGGGGCTTTGAACAAGCTTTGGCTTCTAGAACCGATCATTTTGCTGGTTAAGAAGACCTTCAACGGTAAATATCTTTTCATCTGTGTGCAACATATTGTGCTGGTCGATTCCATTGAAGCACATCAATAACTGATCTGCTCTGATCAATTGATCAACGGTGACGACCAAATAGACTGCATCGAGCTCTTCTCACGCTTTCAACAGTGATTTCTTCAAGCTTTCGATGTTTTTGTGAAGATTTGAACAAGCTTTGGCTTCTAAAACCGAAAACACTGAAAAATCCATTGAGTTGAGATATTGTGATGGTCGATTCCATTAAAGCGCATCAATAACTGATCTGCTCTCAATTTTCGCTTGTTTTTAGCGGAAAGAAGCTGAGCCTTCATTTTTCTTGTAAGCATTAAGTTTGAGATTATTTTCGAGGGTCCAACGCAATGAGGTGCTTGAAATCGCCATCTTCTTTGCCATTTGCCTTGCCAACTGATTTGGCTTTGTCCAAATTCAGTCCCTCACTCGCTTGATGTTTGTCTTTGTGATAACAGTTGGGCGTCTATCGCTTCTTGGTGCATCAGCAATTGTTCGTCTACTTCGTAGTGCATCAGCAATTGTTCGTCTACTGCTTGATGCATCAGCAATTGTTCGTCTACTTCGTAGTGCATCAGCAATTGTTCGTCTACTGCTTGATGCATCAGCAATTGTTCGTCTACTTCGTAGTGCATCAGCAATTGTTCCCATAGCTTCGTAGCGTTGAATAGTGTGGAAAATGATACTTCTGTCGACTTTAAGACGCTTATGAATCTCCGGTGCCGAGACTCCTCGCTTGTGCAATTCGATTGTCGATTCGATTGGCAATTCGATGAGGATTTTCCAGCCATCCTAAAAAACAGCACATTTTATATGAAAAAAGTTTCAATTATATTCCAAATATAATAAAAACACAAAAAACAACAGAAATGAAGCTTAAATCAACGAGTAATAACTCGTTGATTTAAGCTTTTAAGCATATAACTTTATCCGTGAACACGCGTGGTACCTTGTTGCGAAAATTATGGCGCACCCTGTACTGACGCATTCAGAAATGTTGTTCAAAGCCTCGATCTTGTTGATCTTGTTGGCTTTCGTGAAAACAGGTTTGATTGGATCACAGGATTCAATTTTTGTTTTATTTAGCACACTTATCTTCCACAAAAGATTATCCGAATGTGCAGTGCTTGGTCAAAAAATATGTTTACAATCTTGAATGTCCTACTCCATTGGATGTCAAAGAAATGTGCAAGTGAGAAAAAGATTAGATGAAAATTTAAATCTACCGTAAATGCTGTAATGGTACCCCAACCCCATAATGACGGCGCGGAGTGTTGCGTAGTCTAGCTTTGAACGAGTTTTTCTCGAGACTGGTTTATGCTACAAGGTTCGTTTAGGTATCAAAAAATAGCTGAAATGCAGGGCTATTTTTTGATACCTAAACGAACATTGTAGCATAAACCAGTGTCGAGAAAAACTCGTTCAAAGCTAGACTACGTTCAAAACTTTTGCGACTACGCGACTGTACGAGGAGGGTGGGGTACTATTAAAGTATTTACGGTAATAATTCTTTATACTTTTCCAAATATTCAGTGAAACCGAAGTGATGTTAAAGGCTGATTTTGAGGACGCTCGAATCTTTGGAGCTCGAGTTGCGGCCATGCTTTGTGATGGACAGGATTCTGATGAAGGTAAATACGAAAAAGATACTAAAAGTAAAAAGATACTAGTAAAAGCTAAATTCAAACGGCATTTAGTCTTTAGTCTTCAAAATTTAGTCTTCAAAACTCTCGAATGCACACAAGAAGGGAAGAATCGGAAGGAATTCGTAAATAAATGTGGCAGAATGAATTTGAGAAGCACGGACTGTGGGAAATTCGCGGAACAAGCCAGGTTTGGCTTTAAAGTCTTCATTATTTAAAGTCTTTATTATTTAAACTCTTAATTATTCAAAAAGAAAGTTAAATTTAGATTTTAAACATTTAAATTAGATTTTAAGCCTTTAATTTAAATTTTAAGCCTTTAAATTAGATTTTAAACATTTAAATTAAATTTAAAACATTTAAATTAGATTTAAAACAAAGAAATTTCAGTTGTGCAATTGACGTGTTGAATTGTGGAAATGAGAAGGTGGTGAAATTCTTGACCGAGGTAACTTTCATTTCATTTCATTTCTAATTTAACAATTGTTTTTTTTTTTGAGAATTAAAGGCGTTTAAGGTAAATCTAGCTTGTTTCGCAATTTTCTCGCAATGTTTTTAAAATCGATTGTGAGGGTCCATCCCAAAACAGCGCCACCCAAAACAACGCCGATCAAAACAGTGCCGCCAAAACAGTGCCACCAAAACAGTGCCACCCAAAAAAGCACCACCCAAAATAGCGCCAATGAAAAAACACCCAAAACAGCGCCGATGCAAAACAAAGTTTTTTTTTTCGTTTTTTTAAATGTTTTTAAACAATGTTTTTAAAATCGATTGTGAGGGTCCATCCCAAAACAGCGCCGCCAAAACAACGCCGCCAAAACAATGCCGCCAAAACAGCGCCCACCAAAACAATGCCGCCAAAACAATGCCGCCAAAACAGCGCCACCCAAAACAGCGCCACCAAAACAGCGCCGCCAAAACAGTGCCGCCAAAACAGCGCCGCCAAAACAGTGCCGCCAAAACAGCGCCACCCAAAACAGCGCCACCAAAACAGCGCCACCAAAACAGCGCCGCCAAAACAGCGCCGCCAAAACAGCGCCGCCAAAACAGCGCCGCCAAAACAGCGCCACCAAAACAATGCCGATCAAAACAGTGCCACCAAAACAGCGCCACCAAAACAATGCCGATCAAAACAGTGCCGCCAAAACAATGCCGATCAAAACAGTGCCACCCAAAACAGCGCCAATGAAAAAACGCCCAAAACAGCGCCGATGCAAAACAAAGTTTTTTTTTCTTTTACAATGTACAATTCATTTTTTTATTAGCAGCTTTTAATTTTGATAATTTATTTAAAAATAACATGACCAACAATAATAAACGATAACAATTAAACGATGCATAAAAAACATCAAAATAGTCTCTTGGACTAATTAATAGTCCAAGAGACTCTGAAACATCATAACACCAGCGATGATGAACATAAACGGCTAGAGCTTTCAAGTGATCCGTAGTAGAAATTAAAAAGTTGGTGAAAACGTTAAAAAAACAGGCCGTAAAAGGAAAAAAATTGTTATTTTTGTTATTTTTGGTTAAAATCACTTTAATAAACGCTATCGCAGGTTTCTTATGCGTAAAGCTTAAAAAAGTCGGATTCTCCGCCGGATTTTTAGTCGGAAGCCGGAAAAAAGTCGGATTTTTTAACCCTAAAAACACAAAAAGTGGACAGAAAAAGTTAAAAACAGCAAAGAAAAAGCAAAAGCAAAAATCTAAAAAATAATTGTTTTTGCTCGTCGCTGTTTTGGGGGTTTTGGCATTGGTGCTGTTTTGGGTGGCGCTTGGTCGGCGCTATTTTGGCGGCACTATTTTAGGTACGGCACTATTTTAGGTACGGCACTGTTTTAGGTAGGGCGCTGTTTTAGGTACGGCACTATTTTAGGTACGGCACTATTTTAGGTACGGCGTTATTTTAGGTAGGGCGCTGTTTTAGGTAGGGCGCTATTTTGGGATAGACCCGATTTTGATCTGATTTCTCTAAAAGTCACTTTGAAACGTTTCATTCAGGCTTTCATCAACGACGATGATCATCGTGATCTTTTCAATTGTCGCGAAGAAATCGCAAAAGAAATCGGTATCCAAGTTTGGTGAACGGATTTCAAACAAACAACAAACAAAATTGCCTTTCAATAAATATTTGTTGCAATTTTATTTAGAACCAGCCGAAAAACCCGCTGTTAACAGCGGTTTTTGAATGTTTTTCACTGACTTGTAGGTTTGATCCCTCGAGTTAAAGGGTGCTCGGCGCGACTAACGCCACGCCTCGCGCCCTGCAACAATACTGGGATCTATCTCTTCGTCTTCCAAAGCAATATCGGGACCAACTCTGATACCCACCTGATACCCACATGGATGCACTCGACGCGATTAACGTCACAATGTCACGCCTCCCCCTCCGAGACCCCTGTAATAATACCTTCACCCTGAGACAACTCAAATTTGCATACTTCAACTCCATGCTTGAAATTTAGCAATCTAAAGCAAAAAATTTATAAACGAACGGGAATTGAACCCGACACTCCCTTGAGGCCGTTTTGTAGACGGGACGGACGCTAACCACCACGCCACGCCTTACACCACTTCTGGGTAGTTTTTGTTTTTATTGTCAACTACTGTAAAACGAACAGAGCATTTTATCTTAACAAACAAGGTTGAAAACGATGTCTTATGTTCATAATAAAGATTTATTTTCTATCATATCGTCCCCTTCCCGATTGTCCGTTCCATCCGCCACCAGAGCCGATTCGACCGAATTGCTGTTTTGCGCGCCGGAACTCATCTCCATTTCCACTGACAATCCCTTGAACTCCATGCCAGACACCGTGCGAGAAGGGACGACCTAATTTGTCCCAAGCAGCACTTCCTCCAAAATTTCGATCAGCCCTTTCGTTCAATCGGAGACCCCAATCCGGGCGTTGCTCTAGGTTCAGTTGACGCTGAAAGTTGATTACAATATTTTGAAATTTAAGTTTAGAGTTTGAAATTTAATTTTACAGTAATCAATATCGTTTTTTTAGATCGTAAACTTTTTAAAAAAAGATTCATTTAATTTGTTTTTGTTTGTTTAATTGTTTAATTTGTTTTTGTTGGGAGTGGGACAAATGCGACCTTTTTTTTGCGCACCCGGACATTTGCGCACTTTTTTTCCGCACTTAGCCCATTAGCGCACCTTTTTTCGCGTTTTAAAAAAGCTCTAAAAGTTAATATTAACCAATTTCTATTCCAAATGTTGTTTTTCTAGGTAATTTTAGGGCGTAGAATCGAAATTTTGATATGACAGAGCGTGTGGAACCAATTTGAAAGACAAAACGGCTAGGTCAAATTACAGAAAATTGTTGATTTTTCTCTTTGTATACTCCGTCCGTTCGCTTCCACAAGCTCTGATATGCCAAAATTTGAATTCGACACCCTCAAATTACCTAGAAAAACAACTTTTGGAATAGAAATTGGTTAATATTAGCTTTTAGAGCTTTTTTAATTACGTTTGCTCTGTCGCTTAAAAGACAAAGTATTCAGCTTTTCGGCGCGATATTTTGCTCTCGCGGGCTTTCCGCTTTGGGGAATCTGACTTTTACGTTCATTTTTAAAAAGCGGCGATCTTTGTCTCCCTACTTGTCTTTTTCTGAAATAGAGAAAATTCTTTTTCTCTTACCTTCATTCATATCGCAACTTTTAACCCGTCGTTTTTGCTCACTTTACGTTTTCCCGTTTTACTTACTTTTTGTGCCTTTTACTCAAACTTAACTTAAAGTAAAGCCTTAACTTAAAGCCTTAAAGTAAAATCGCAAGAATTTACACAATCTGGCTTCAACTAACCGACTAAAGGAAATATTTTCTTTTTCGGTTTCATTTTCCCCACTAATTTTTTTACTTGGATTTCAATAGTTCCTCATTTAACTTTTATTTAGTTTCAAACAACCAAAATGCAACACGAGGATCCAATTCAAGCTTGCCTGAACTCCTTTGCCGACGCTGTGGCATCAAAGGGACTCCTCAAAAGTTGTGTGACGGGATTTGGGCAGAAATACGTACTGTATGGGATTCAATCGGTGAATCGAGGGGATTCTGGATATGAGGTTTGCCTTTTGCTTGTTTAAGAGTTAGCTGGTTGTTGTTGAAATGAATCAGCTCTCAACTAATTGTTGGACTTACAATCAGTTGACTGTTGATGAGTAACCTCTTTAAAAAAAAGACCTCTTCGATAGTTTAAGCTCGTTTGGCGTTTGAGTAGATTGTATATATATTGATATGAATACTGATATGTTAGACTTTGTGTCAGAGTACTGATAGATAGGTGATAAATAACAGAGTAATTAAGTTAACGATTATCACCTTTGTCTCGTTTAGTTGTGGATGGTTACTGCCAACGCTCGGAACATTGAAGTGCGTTCACACCCAATGAAGGTTTCTTTTCTTTTCAGTTCGATAATCTTTCTATTAAATTTAGTTATCAACTGAGTCGATGGATCGAATGCAGATCTTGGCTCAAATGGATGCGTGTCAGAAACATTTCGCTTCCTATCCACCACCCAGCTTGTCTCATCCTCCACCATTCTGTGTGATTCCAGTGAACGCTGAGGTAATAAATCTTGTTAGTTGTCTAATAAATTCAAGCATTTAGCTGACCTCCTTATCAATGGTCGATTTATTCAATGACATGGAAAGCCTTTTACCTGGAGATGAAGTCTTCGTGACCAACTACTTGACCGATGGACGTATTTGGTATCATTCTGGGATCCACATCGGTGGCGGGTTTTTCTGTCACTTTGTTCCAACAAACGGTAACGCTTTCCATTTTAATTTTAATACTTTTTGTTAAGGTTTCAATGAAACTGATCTCAACAACGGTAAAACGGTTCCCGGTGTGGTTGAATGTGTTACGGCGCAAGGATTTTACGAGGCTGTTCCATCAAGTAAGATCTGTAGTATGTATTTATTTTATGGTTGGCGAATGAAACTCTAAATGCGTAACAAGACGCATGAACTTTTCTTTTTAGAGATCCGTCAAGCTTTCCGCGTCACTCATCCCATACTGGTTCGTGAGGGTTTGACGATTGTCGACCAAGCAAAGCGATTTGTTGATGAAAAGGTGGGCTTTTTAAATTTGACCAACATATTTCTCATATTAGGTTTTCAATGATTACAACTATGTCAATCGCAACTGCCAACATTTCTCATCACGTTGTTCATACGACCGCGAGTTCAGCTACAATACCGACAAGCTCTTCTCTTCCAACGAGCATGCCTCTTCGCAAAAAGTTGCGACAGTTGGCGTGACGCCAATTGTTCGTCCGGGTTTTGTTGCAACTGAAGGCTGCCGACAGAATGTTGTCGGAATTGCCAAAGTCGCACCAATGGTTCGTACGAATTCTGTTGCAACGGAAAACTGCTTCGATTCGTCGGTT